TTTTTATTTTTCTCATTTTTTTCACATTTTAGAATATTATTGAAGTAATTAAAAGTATGAAATAAAACATCAATGCTGGGCAGTGGGCACATGTTGATTGCTTTTTCCTTAACCTACTAACCATTTATTTCATATTTTTAAAATGAATTTCTAAAGAATTTAAAATTCAATCCGAATCATGTATTGTATATTTTGATACAGTGTCTCCACATCCATGGCCACTGATCCCATGGCAGAGGAAATACTGAGAGATGACTTGAGGTTTTACTTCATGAGCCCTTGTGAGAAGTACAGAACCCGGCGACAGTTACCATGGAAATTAGCAGTGCAAATTTTGAAAATATTCATGATTACACTTCAGGTATTTATTGGGTTATCTGTTTGCTTAAAGTTTCAGTATGCAACTGTGTGTTTTTTTTTAAATACTTTTGTAGCCCAGCTTAATATGCAAAGACTTCTACAAGTAAGTGTGATTTCCTGCTAAAAAAAGTGTCTCTGTGGTGTTATCAAAACATTTTTCTGTTTGTTTGAGAATCCCAACAAGCTTAGCACAGCAACAGTGCCTCAGCCACTCAATTTTTCGGGGGTTTGTTTGACCAATGGAAGGCTGGGGGTGTGGCCAGGAAACCTGTTTGAACACAGTTACTATTATTGACGTTTTATTTGGTGACTAGTGGGGCAGAAATTACACAATTCGGCTTTATATGTAAACCTTTTCTGAATTCTTGAAAGATTTGTCATTATGTGATCATAATTTAATCTTCTTAAAGCTACAGTACACATAAAGCCGTAATGTTCCACCAGCCAGACTGAAAACATGTTGTTGTTGTTGTTTTTTTCCAAAGCTCATACTGTTTGGGCTGAATAATCAGCTTGTGGTGTCCTACAAGGAGGAGAACCTCATGGCCTTTAAGAGTTTGTTTCTGAAGGGCTACAGTGGTGTGGATGAGGATGACTACAGTATTGCTGTCTATACCAAACAGAGTGTATATGATAGTTTACACTATGTTATAGATCAGGTTTGTATTGTTTTTAATTAATCTTGCTTTTTTGTTCTCCACAACTTTTTCCTCCTCCGTTACTTTATTAGCATTACGTATGTTACAGGCAATTT